CCACAGCCGGCCACCACAGCATTAAACCGCCCCAACGGCCTTCCTCCCACCTACGATCCCGCAGTGAAAGCAGGTGTTCGCTGACACCCTGCAATCACGTTTCTCGCCCCCAGCCATCTCCCTCTCCGCCGCGGAAATCTCTTTCACACCCACGCCCTCACACGACATTCCGTCTGACTGGCACATCACTGAGGATGAGGTAAGCGACCAACTCAAAAACAAACACAAAACGAGCGGGCGGGCCGGACAAACTGTCAGGCGAAATGCTTAAGAAATTACCTCCTAAGGCCACCCGTCTCTTAACTTCAATGTACAGCGCTTGCATTTCTGTGCAATACTTCCCCGCCGTATGGAAATCTGCGATTGTGACGGTACTTCCGAAACCGCACAAAAACTCGCGCCTCCCGAACAACTATCGACCGATCTCTCCTGCCAATCCTCGGCTAAATCCTTGAGAAACTAATTCTCAAGAGAATTCTGCCCGATTTCGAACAGCGAGGCATCATCCGGGAGGCGCAGTTCGGCTTTCGAAAGAATCGCTCCTCCGCTCTACAAGCGCTTCGCTTTGCTTTCTTGGTTTCTTCTACTCTTGACCGCCGCTGCTCAACTCCAGCTCTATTCTTTGATTACTCTTTCACCTTCGACACCGTCCACCACCCGCTCCTCCAACACAAACTTCGCCCGTACATCCCACCCTTTCTATTAAATCTACTCACCAGCTATCTATCATACCGCACTTTCTCTGTTCGATACCAATCTCTCACTTCATCTTCTCGCCCCATACTCGCCGGCGTCCCACAAGGAGCCGTGCTCTCTCCCTTCCTCTTCACTCTCTTCACAAACGACGCGCCCACTACTGCGGGAGTGAGCGAATTTATCTACGCCGACGACCTAGCGTTCGCAGTCAAAGATAGCCGAATCAAAATAGCTATAAAAAAGCCACAGCGAGCCGCAAATGCACTCACAAAGTGGAGCGCGGAAAACTGCCTCACGCTAAACGCACAGAAATGCCAGGCAATCCTATTCACAAATAAAACATTGCACAACGCGCACACTGTCGCTCCCATCCGCCTAAACACACACACACTCTCCAGTGGCAAGACGCGATTAAATACCTCGGCGTCACTTTCGACCGCCGACTCACCTGGAAAACACACTTACAAAAAACACGCAAAAACATGACACAACGCATACACAAACTCCTACCAATCTTTAGGACAAAATCCCTAAAGGAAACTTTAAAAATTCGCCTTTACCAAGCGTGCGTACGGAGCGCGGGGCTCTACGCATGCGAGGTGTGGACGTCGGCCGCGGAAGGGCACCGTGAGAATCTCACGCGTGCCGAACACTCTCTTATCCGCGCCACCTTCAAGCCTCCTCCAGGCACAATCCTCGACACAGAACTAAAAAACAGAAACATCGACACGATCGCCACTATCACACACAAACTTGCCAGGGAGAGAATCACAAACATTTTCTCAAACTTACACCTCTTCCCAACTTTCTCTGCTTTCACACAATACTACGCAAAAAATCTAGACACCCCCCTCAAGAAACTTCCCTCTGACATCATGTACATGAAACCACCCTGAACCGCACAATCGCAAAACACAAAACCATCCTACAAAAAGAAAACAAAATAACACACACAACCTACGCACCAGGCATGCTCCCAGCGTCCACAAAACAAAGGGAAAAGGAATGACAAACACCACAAAGCCTCGTCTCCAAGTTAATAGTCAAAAGAAAACAAACTAACACAGCTTTAGTTCTGCACAGTTTTGTTTCGTGTCATATCTGTGTTCTTCTGTATAGCTTTGCTTCGTGCCACAAAACATACATGTGTGAATGAGTGCGTATGTGTGTCTGTGAAAATTGTATATGAACAGCATGAGTGTGTATAAGTTAAGTATAATACGTGTGCATGTGTATCTAAGCGTAAGTAGACAATAAGCAAATATAGTAATGTAAACAATGTAAGCAATTAAGTAAACATAGTATAGCAAAGTAGCAATTAGTATTAGTAGTCTTAAGCAAATGTTACTTTAAAACATATAACAAAACTGTAAATAAACCATGTAAATATAGGAAAATAAAGAAACATCGACGACCGCGCGACGAAGGGAATGACTCGGGCGCCGCTCCCTCACGGGAGCGGCCTCTCTTGGAAGGAAAGGACAAAAACACGAAGAAAGGAAGAGCATAAAACCAGTGAGCCGCCCAAAAAATTGAATAAGTTGAGTTAGTTTTTAGTAATTCAGTGTTTCGCAAGA